AATCCCATTGTATCAACTAAAATGTCAGTTTCCTTCAAATTTAGCCTGGAGATTGATGAGATTAACTGGTTTATCAGCTGGGGTAACTGTGGGTTTAGATCTCCAATTCTAAACCATGTCACCTACAAAACGCCTTTGCCTTGATTTCTACAAATTCTTGTGGCTAACTTCATCCTTCCCTCAATTCTCTGCCTTTCACCTTTGTGTGTTACCCTGTATCCATCTGGACACGGAGCCCAGCTTATTTATCTGGTTTCCTCTCCCTTTCCAAAAATAAAATTATGTTGCATTTAATATTTCCTTTATTTAGTCATATAACTAAAGAAGTCACAAAAAGTCACACTGTACACCCACTGCCTTCCAACTGCCTCCTCACTTTACCTTATCTATTTCCCTCTAGGACAACTCTTGAAAACCTCCATTTTCCTGGAATAGAACAATTCTTCCTGTACTCAGGATCCTTCAGGGTCTCAAATTCCACCCCAATAGCTTATCAAAGTATTTACAAAAAAACAAAGGCAAAAAATAGGTCTTCCTTCCTCCTAGGAATTCTGGTAAACAGAATTTTAAAATTTCTCCATTTCACTTTTTTTTTTTTTCTTTTTGGTGAGGTTTACATGAAAACCTTCTTAGAGTGCCACACCTCATGAAAAAGGGTAGTGGTCATCTACTGACTCTGGAATCACTTTCCTATGTTGGGTCTTGATCCATTTATGGATACTCCATAATTTCAAAAAGCTTAGTTAAATGTTTACAGACAATGCTAGACATGGGGCCTGGGGTAGGGAATGTTCTGGGCATAAAGAAGAATAGACATTGGGTAAGTATATACAACAACAGAATTTTAAATAGTTTGCAGGAAAGTATGATGGCACTAGTGAGAAAATTCTGCAGAAGGCTCAGCATCAAGTAAAGAAAGGTGACACCCATCTTCCTTGTCCACGGACACTCAGAGGCTTCCATCTCCTTCGAACATTCGTGTTGCCCTGGGCTCATACTCTCTTCTCTGGTGAGGTAAACAATTAGGTATCCCAGTGATAAAGCAGGATGCAGATAAAGCAACTTGCTAAATAAATAAGTTTATTTCGAAAGATGACTCTGGAGAAGTATGAATATTATAGCTTTCCTAAAATAAATTCATCTTTCCTAGAATTAAGATATTTAAGCATTTTAAATGACAGTATCTACATTACATAATTTCTTGATGATAGTTGGAATACAAAATTATACAACCACTATTTGTGTCCCTTATTCTTCCTCCCTACCTTCTTCCACAAACATTTATTGACACTGTAGTAAGAACTGTGCTAAGATATGAGGATACAGAGATAAATGACAACTCTTTCCTTTAAAGATTCAAAATCTAGAAAGGATTCAGGCATGTAGATACAATAAAGACTGCACACTATGTACAAAGACAGAGATGAGACAGTCTCATGACAGCATATACCACAGGCTAAAGTAGGTGGACCAGCATTTGCTTTCTGAAAGAAGAGGCATCTGAGCTTGTTTTACAGGGTCAATAGCTAGCTACTAAGGAAGGAAGGAAAGGATGTTCCATGTAAAGGCACCCAATGCAAAAGGATCGAGAGTACCTGGTCTTTCTGGGGATATGCAAGTAATTGAGCATGGCTGAAGCAGTATGGGTACAGTATGCAGGGAGAAATGGCGGTGATGCAACAGTGAGATAAGTGAAGTTTGCAAACACAAAAATCCTTGTTCCCTAAGGGCAGTGAGGAAGGACAGGGTCAGAGTTGTGTTTAGTGAGGCCACATTGGCAGTGATGCAGATAATGGAGGAGAGAACTGAGAAGTGAAACTGAAGGCGGCAGCTCAATTTGGAAACATAAAGGAATCCAGATGAGAAGAAAATCCAGATTCAGTTAAGTCAGGGTCGAGCTCATGCACACAAGATAAGGCAAGACCTGTCTCATGACATCCTCCCAGGGGAGATAGGAAGGCCTATTTGATATATGCAGGGTCATCAGGACACCAGGGCAGAGCCTTTTCCCTACAGGCAATGGTAGTGGGTTTGGAAAGGAAGAAGTAAAGAATTAAAGAGGTATTAGGAATCCAACTTACAAGGGATGTGAAGGACCTCTTCAAGGAGAACTACAAACCACTGCTCAATGAAATAAAAGAGAACACAAACAAATAGAAGAACATGCCATGCTCATGGATAGGAAGAATCAATATCGTGAAAATGGCCATACTTAATTTATAGATTCAATGCTATCCCCATCAAGTTACCAATAACTTTCTTCACATAATTGGAAAAAACTACTTTAAAGTTCATATGGAACCAAAAAATAGCCTGCATTACCAAGACAATCCTAAGCAAAGAGAATAAAGCTGGAAGCATCATGCTACCTGACTTCAAACTATACTACAAAGCTACAGTAACCAAAACAGCATGCTACTGGTACCAAAACAGAGATATAGACCAATGGAACAGAACAGAGGCCTCAGAAATAACACCATAAATCTAAAACCATCTGATCTTTGACAAACCTGACAAAAACAAGAAATGGGAAAAGGATTCCCTATTTAATAAGTGGTGCTGGGAAAACTGGCTAGCCATATGTAGAAAGCTGAATCTGAATCCCTTCCTTACACACTTTATGGAAAAATTAATTCAAGATGGATTAAAGACTTAAATGTTAGACCTAAAACCATAAAAACCCTAAAAGAAAACCTAGGCGATAGCATTCAGGACATAGGCATGGGCAAGGACTTCATGACTAAAACACCAAAAGCAATGGCAATAAAAGTCAAAATAGGCAAATGGGATCTAATTAAACTAAAGAGCTTCTGTACAGCAAAAGAAACTACCATCAGAGTGAACAGGCAACCTACAGTATGGAAGAAAATTTTTGCAATGTACCCATTTGACAAAGGGTTAATATCCAGAATCTACAAAGAACTTAAACAAATTTACAAGAAAAAAACAACCCCATCAAGAAGTGGGTGAAGGACGTGAACAGACACTTCTCAAAAGAAGACATTTATGCAGTCAACAGACACATGAAACAATGCTCATCATCACTGGTGATCAGAGAAATGCAAATCAAAACCACAATGAGATACCATCTCACACCAGTTAAAATGGCGATCATTAAAAAGTCAAGAAACAACAGATGCTGGAGAGGATATGGAGAAATAGGAACGCTTTTACACTGTTGGTGGGAGTGTAAACAAGTTCAACCATCATGGAAGACAGTGTGGCGATTCCTCAAGGATCTAGAACTAGAAATACCATTTGACTTAGTGATCCCATCACTGGGTATATACCCAAAGGATTATAAATCATGCTACTATAAAGACACATGCACACGTATGTTTATTGCGGCACTCTTCACAATAGCAAAAACTTGGAACCAACCCATTATGTCCATCAATGATAGACTGGATTAAGAAAATGTGGCATATATACATCATGGAATACTATGCAGCCATAAAAAAAGGATGAGTTCATGTCCTTTGCAGGGATGAAGCTGGAAACCATTATTCTGAGCAAACTATCACAAGGACAGAAAACCAAACACTGCAAGTTCTCACTTACAGGTGGGAACTGAACAAGGAGAACACTTGGACAGAGGGTGGGGAACATCACACACAGGGGCCTGCCATGAGGTGGGAAGCAGGGGGAGGGATAGCATTAGGAGAAATACCTAATGTAAATGACGAGTTAATGGGTGCAGCAAACCAACCTGGCACATGTATACCTATGTATCAAACCTGCACGTTGTGCACATGTACCCTAGAACTTAAAGTATAATAAAAAAAAGGAACAATGTATGCTAAAACAGAGTACTTAGTAAGTGCTCAAAATCACTATTAAATAATTGACCAAGGATTAAAAAAAGAATTAAGGAGGTATTAAACAATAGAATAAACAGGTTGGTGGCTAGATGGAGAAGTCAAAAATAATACCCAGGTTTCTGTCTGGAGCAACTGAGTAGATGATGAAATTTCATACAGATAGGTTATTTGATGCAGAACAAGATTAATTTACAGGCGAGGGGGCAAGGGATAGTAAGGTGATATGACTTAGGGTTCATCATGTCTCCTTGAAGTGTAATCTTGGGACATCCAAAGAGCAGTGACAGTAGGCCATTGGATATATGATGTGGAAGCTCCTTAAAGAGATCTGGCATGGACCTATAGGGAGTTCTGGGATGCAGGTAGTAGTTAAAGGCACAGATAAACTGAGATCAAACAAAGGAGTGAATAAGATGAGAAGAGGGCATTTAGAATATCAAAACTATGGTTTTTAAGAACAAATGTCCTCAAATAATAAGAACCATAGAAATAGAAGCACTACAGGCTAACATCTTAGAGAAATACACCCCCTTTCTTCTGTACCTGAATTGGCTTTAAATTGTTTGGAAAGACCAGGTTTATAAAAGAAAATTGGTCACTATGGAAACAGGCTATTCAATATCAAACAGGCAGTTTGACCACAAAAGTGGTAATTACTTTAGTTTTTTCCTTAATTATATGTTTTCGTGGTTTTCAATAATCGTATATTCTTTCTGTCAGAAATTTGAAGTCAGTTAATGATGTGAGCCAAAGCAAAAATACTAGTCTATAGCTATTTCTCCCAGGTTGCTTACCATCAGAGCACCCCAGACCTAGATGTTTTGTGACTTTAATACTCTGCATTTTATCATGGTATACAATTTATCTAATTTATATAGCCAATCTAAATCTAAATGAACAGAGTCACAAGAAATGTCTCTCCATCTTTTGCTTCATGGCCAATCTCCTTAATTAAGAATGTATGGATGTCATATTACCTATCAATTTTTACCCTAGGCTGCTATTAAAATCTAAAGCTATACCAGAAAAAAATATATATCACATTTTAAGAAATATGTCATCAAAATCCTAAACAAAATTCATGTAAATTCTTGTAATCTAAGTCTTTCGTCTGGTACATTATTCTACATTTTTAAATTCAGAATACATTCATATTTAAACAGTAGTTACTTCACTAACCTTATCCAAAAAAGCTTGTATTGCTGCTTCCTGATTCGCCGTATAAGCAATGTATCTATGTCTCCCAATAGAAGCAATTATCTGAGTCTCTTTTTCCAGAAGTTCACACAGAGCAGCTTTCCTTTCCGCTCCAGTGAAAGATTGGTTAATACGTTTAAGTTCTTCTTGCCGCCAGACTAGAGGAATAATACAATAGACTCTTGAGTTTTTAAAATCCCACTTTTTTATGATCACATCCTGATGAGGAGTATTTTATTTTTACATCAATTTAAACAAAAGTATACTCCAATAGAATCATTTATATTGTATACCTGATGCGCAAAAAAGTGAGAAAATGGAAGCTGAGAGACTTAATAAAAGTAGAATCAAACAAACAGAAGCCAAAGGGAAACAGTACAGATGATGTCAAATTATGTCTCCAAGTGAGCATTCATACTGCTTAGCATTGACAAAAATATGACTTGGATTTTGTGGCAGCCATGAGCGTGCACTGTTCAAATCTCCCTTCAAGAGAGTACCTGTCACAAAGGGTAAAGGTAATTGACAGTTCCAACTACAGCATTTCAGATCTGCTGCCTTGTTGAAGCTGAGGTCATATTCTGCCTACAAAGTTCTCATCAATGACCAGGCACCATGTGGGAGTCAGAACCAGGCTGTATCTGCCCAACAATGGACTTTTCTGTGGTCAATCATATATGAGCCAATTGTTGGGCTGGCTTAGCCTTCCTTAGAGTTAAGACTTTCCATACCCCATCTTCTTTCCTTCACTCTCTCAATTGATGAGGTGTCAAATCTCATCTCAAACTGAAGATTTCCTTTTCCTTCCTCTGCTCCCTTTCATCTTTATCTTTCACTTCCAATTACATCCTGGTGTCTGCTTCCCCAAGGACCCAAGCTGATATAGTTTTATGTAGAACTGTTGATATCAGTCATTTCCTTCATTCACTTAGGCGCCATTTTCCATTTATTTACAAAACTCTAAATTATAGTCACAAATGTTATAAAGTAATTGCATTTACTGTTTACTCAAACTAATGCATTATGTTATCATAATATTTATGATATTTTAAAGCCCTGGTTACTATCAATAAAAAATGTGCTGCCCAAACTTAAATAAATCAAAATTTCTGAGCTCAGATGCATGCATTTTACCAAGTTTTCATTTAATTTTTACATATACTAAATTTGGAGAAGAAAACTCTTTTGTATCCCACAATTCAAAAATGTCAACCTTATTTATATTAACAAAAGAATAGGGTTGGAAAGAACTTGAGAAATTAAATTATTCAACCCCACGTTTAAGAAAGGATCCTTCTCGGAACAGCTTGAACAGGTTTAATTGGCCCACCCTGGTTCTAATACTAGCTTGTGAGGCAACACTGCGTCAGGTTGTTTCTTGGGCCACATGGTACTCCTTTAGGTATGTGAAGAGAGCAATCACCCCTCATTTATGTTTTATCTTCTCTAGCCATAAATATTTCTATTTCTTCAATTGTGCATCATTTGACTCATTTTCTGTCCATGTAAGTCAAGCTCCTCTGATTTATCATAGTACCTCTTAAAATATGGCATACCAAATTTCTGACAAGATAGAAGCTTCTACACAAACTTCTACCTCCCTTCTCCTATGTCACTGCTAAAATGATAAAAGAAATATGAAAGACAGGAGAAATGAGAGAGACCTGAATCAGTACTAAAAATCTGAAAGGAATTTATCCCTATATAAGAAACCCTGGGGAATTTCGAAAAGATATAGTGCAGATACTACCAAATAAATGAAAGACTGTCAAAAAAGCACATAAATGTTGTTATCCAAACTTCTGCTTTCTCATTTCAGAAAGTGAACATCGTAGCAGAAGATGGGAAACCCCAACTTAAGCAACTCGGAACTAGAGAAAAGAGCAGCTTATCAAGCTATTTGACAGTTTACCATGCTTTAAGAAAGTCTTTGAGAAACTTTCAGAAGAATGCCTAACATTTCCAGTCATTGCAGAAGATAATAACAACTATGAGCTTATGCAAAAAAAAGAAAAATATTTTAAATAGTACAGAAAGCAAGAAGAGAAAAGCAAAAAAAAAAAAAAAAAAAGCATAATAGTTATGTTTAAAATATGAAATGATTATACAGATATTTTTCTGTTGAAAATAAGATAATTTTGCAAAATTCTAGGGACATGATGTTTTCAGAGGGGACACTTGAAAAAAACTGACACCAAAGGTGAAATTTAAAAGGTTAGCAGAGGGGGCACGCCCAAGATGGCCAAATAGGAACAGCTCCAGCCTCCAGCTCCCAGTGTGAGCAACACAGAAGATAGGTGATTTCTGCATTTTCAACTGAGGTACTGGGTTCATCTAACTGGGGCATGTCGGACAGTTGGCTCTGGTCCCCGGGTGCAGCCCGACCAGCGAGAGCTGAAGCAGGGCGAGGCATCGCCTTACCTGGGGAGCGCAAGGGCAAAGGGAATTCCTTTTCCTAGCCAAAGGAAAGTGAGACACACAACACCTGGAAAATTGGGGAACTCCCACCCTAATATTGTGCTTTACCAAGGGTCTTAGCAAATAGCACACCAGATTATATCCCACACCTGGCCTGGAGGGTCCCACGCCCATGGAGCCTCCCTCATTGCTAGCACAGCAGTCTGAGATCTAACTGCAAAGTGGCAGCGAGCCTGGGGGAGGGGCGCCTGCCATTGCTGAGGCTTAAGTAGGTAAACAAAGCTGCTGAGAAGTTCGAATTGGGGGGAGCCCACCACAGCTCAAGGAGGCCTGCCTGCCTCTATAGACTCCTCCTCTGGGGACAGGGCATAGCTAAACAAAAAGCAGCAGAAACCTCAGAGGAGGTAAATGTCCCTGTCTGACAGCTTTGAAAAGACCAGTGGATCGCCCAGCATGAAGGTTGAGATCTGAGAACGGACAGACTGCCTGCTCAAGTGAGTCCCTGACCCCTGAATTGCCTAACTGGGAGACATCCCCCACTAGGAGCAGACTAATACCTCACACCTCACACAGCTGGGTACACCCCTGAGACGAAGCTTCCAGAGCAAGAATCAGACAGCAACACTTGCTGTTCAGCAATATTCTATCTTCTGCAGCCTCTGCTGCTGATACCCAGGCAAACAGGGTCTGGAGTGGACCTCAAGCAAACTCCAACAGACCTGCAGCTCAGGGTCCTGACTGTTAGAAGGAAAACTAACAAACAGGACACCCACACCAAAACCCCATCAGTACGTCACCATCATCAAAGACTAAAGGCAGATAAAATCACAAAGATGGGAGAAAAAGCAGGGCAGAAAAGCTGGAAATTCAAAAAATCAGAGTGCATCTCCCCCTCCAAGCAAAGCAACTCATCGCCAGCAACAGAACAAAGCTGGACGGAGAATGACTTTGACGAGATGAGAGAAGAAGGCTTCAGTCCATCAAACTTCTCAGAGCTAAAGGAGGAACTACATAACCAGCACAAAGAAACTAAAAAACTCGAAAAAAGAATGGATGAATGGATAACTAGAATAACCAATGTAGAGAAGACCTTAAAAGAACTGATAGACATGAAAACCATAACATGAGAACTACGTGACAAATGCACAAGCTTCAGTAACCGACTCGATCAACTGGAAAAAAGAGTATCAGCGATTGAAGATCAAATGAATGAAATGAAGCAAGAAGAGAAGTGTAGAGGAAAAAGAGTAAAAAGAAATGAACAAAGACTCCAAGAAATATGGGATTATGTGAAAAGACCAAATCTACATCTGATTGGTGTGCCTGAAAGTGAGGGGGAAAATGGAACCAAGTTGGAAAACACTCCACAGGATATCATCCAGGAGAACTTTCCCAACCTAGTAAGGCAGACCAACGTTCAAATTCAGGAAATACAGAGAATGCCACAAAGATACTCCTCGAGAAGAGCAACTCCAAGACACATAATTGTCTTGTGTGACAATTCACCAAACTGAAATTCACCAAATTTGAAATGGTGAATTTCAAATTTACCAAAGTTGATACACCAAAGTTGAAATGAAGGAAAAAATGTTAAGGCCAGCCAGAGAGAAAGGTCGGGTTACACACAAAGAAAAGATCACCAGACTAACAGCAGATCTCTCGGCAGAAACTCTCCAAGCCAGAGAGAGTGGAGGCCAATATTCAACATTCTTAAAGAATTTTCAACCCAGAATTTCATATCCAGCCAAACTAAGTTTCATAAGTGAAGGAGAAATAAAACCCTTTACAGACAAGCAAATGCTTAGAGATTTTGTCACCACGAGGCCTGCCCTACAAGAGATCCTGAAGCAAGCACTAAAGTTGTAAAGGCCACAGGTGTACCGAGTCCATTGCAAAAACATGCCAAACATGTAAGGTCATTGATGCTAGGAATGAAACTGCATCAACTATACGCAGCAAAATAACCAGCTAATATCATATGACAGGATCAACGTTCACACATTATTCACCATCATTTAACCTTAAATGTAAATGGACTAAATGGTTCAATTAAAAGACACAAACTGGCAAATTGGATAAAGAGTCAAGACTCATTAGTTTGCTGTATTCAGGAGACCCATCTCACATGAAGAGACACATATAGGCTCAAAATAAAGGGATGGAGGAAGATCTACAAGGCAAATGCAAAATAAAAAAAAAGCAGCAGTTGCAATCCTAGTCTCTGATAAAACAGACTTTAAACCACCAAAGACCAAACGAGACAAAGAAAGCCATTACATAATGGTAAAGGGATCAATTCATCAGGAAGAGCTAACTATCCTAAATATATATGCACACAATAAAGGAGCATCCAGATTCATAAAGCAAGTCCTCAGAGACTTATAAAGAGACTTAGACTCCCATACAATAATAATGGGAGATTTTAACACCCCACTGTCCACATTAGACACATCAACATGACAGAAAGTTAACAAGGATATCCAGGAATTGAACTCAACTCTGCACCAAGTGGACCTAATAGACATCTACAGAACTCCCCACCCCAAATCAAGAGAATATACATTCTTCTCAGCACCACATCGCACTTATTCCAAAATTGACCACATAGTTGCAAGTAAAGCATTCCTCAGCAAATGT